GTAAAGGACTGTCCTCAATATGGTCATCATCATCATCAGCTTTGGTCAATCCCCTGCTTTATGAAGGCATTCTCAGGCAGTCACCATTCATCATGGTCCTGCGATGTAACTAATCCACCTCGCACCTCAACTCGGCCGATTTTACTCCATTTCCTCAATGGTGTCTTCTGTAAATAATTCATTTTAAAAACCCACTAACCCCACCACACTCTCATTTCCAAATTGGCTCTCTTCATCAGTATATTGGCAAAGAAGGTATCTGTGTATTTGTTTTTTTCATTTAATGAAATAACTGCTAATGGAGTAATTTATATCTTACCCTGATTACTATTGCAATGCAGGCATAATTTGTGATAACCCGTGCACCTCTTCAAGAATACCCCAAATATTAAAGTACATGCCATTACCTTGTTGATATTTCTCTACTAATGAGAACTCCATCACTTGGCACCAATGTGCTGTCGCGCAAGCATTTAGATTCCAAGTTTCAGCGGCCCGTGGTTAAACTGGATGTTCAAGTGTCTAGCCAAGGGGAAAAATAACACACAATCGGGGGGTGGCTGACGAGTTTTGAGTGATGATGAAATGGACGGCATTGGGAAGCTTTCACCTCGAGGTCAAGCTTTCTCAAAAATATAACTCCTGTACTGTACTTCCATTTCTATAGTTATTGATCTTAATTCGGAGCTAACATCTCATTTCCTCAAGACTGCAGCACAAGTTTATTGATTCCCCACGGCGTTGACCTTCCACCCATACGGTATAGCCCTGAATTAATGCAGAGCCAAGCCTTGCACTCGTTCATTCTTTCACTGTACCCCTTTAAATATGCAAGCCTGTTCAAATGAATCTTGCACAAATTCCCATTTGTAACAAAGTCAATTAGACATTATTAACTAGTGGGTTTTTTGTGCCATCAGGAAAATATGGGCCAGGTCTCTAGAGTAGATGGATTGGCCTACCAATATTAACTGCAGTACATCATCTTCCCAAGGTCGATAAGATAAGTGCCACTTTGTGGGAAGTCAGCAGTGGTTGTCCAATGTCCAGGCTCACTTCCATCATTCGACTGATGAATTTCCACCACTGGCCCAGAGCCGGCAATGGAAGAAAACGCCACCCCCACATGTCTCACTTTAATTGGTAAAATCTGAAAAGAGCCGAATTGAACACCAATCTGTAGAGGGGATGTCATGATTGTTGTGTACAAATTTCCAATATTGTACGTGACATTTGTTGAGGTGTGTACTACCGCAGTGGATGTTCAACTCGATCCTCGCCTCTGTAAAAAGTTATCCTGGCCTTGAATCTCCCTTCTTTTTACCACGCCTCGCCCACTCTGGAATGAATGGGTTATTGTGGTGGCTGACGTTTTACAGTTAACCACACACTCAACGTCCAAAACAGCTCCATACATTTCACACATCTTTAACGGTGTTTTTGGCACTGCCTTAAACTGTACCACTGCCATTAACAAAACCATCATGCCCTGAAGAATGTAGTCGACTTAAAATGATTGCCGATGTTAAATAGTTCACAGGAGTTTTGCATATCCACTGACAGATTAAATGCATATTCTTAGCTCTGACCGTTTGTGTTATGGTCGAAACGTCGTGAGAATTTTTATAGTTTTATATATATTGTATTGTTTCCCTTCAACGTGACTTTACCGAAAGAGCTAAGAATATGAATTACTGCAGTCACGAAAGCTTTAAATCAGATTAAATGCATAGTATCAGTTCGATTCCCCGCCACAGCTAACCTCAGCAGCGAATGATATGCGAGCCGTTCCTGGCCTCCCCTGTGTCAATCTGCACTTGAGTAGTGAAGTTTAATCAAACAATCTCAATGACTGACAACACCGTGGGGAATTCCACATTGACAAAAGGTTGTATATTGTAACTATTAAATAGTAATGTTAACTATTAGACATTAAACAAACCTTTATCGAAGAAAACCTCGTGGAGTTTAAATACTCCTTTCAGAATGTTCCTTCATAGCGGTTTCCTCTTTTGAGTATTTTTAAATGTAGAGGGAAACTGGAATTCCGGGAGAAAAACTACGCATATGGCGATAACACTCAAACTCACTGCTGGAGACTTATTTCCTGTACTGCAGTTTGGTGTCTCGCATATATTGTGGCTCTATCTCCACGTGATTCGCTAACCCCCACCTTCCAATTCACTGAATGAAAGATACCGATGTACATTGCCACCTGCACCTTATGTTACCCGTTGTTACATAGGTTCAAGTATGTACTCTACTGTAAAATACCTGGAGATATGGAGCATTAAAAATTGGCTTAAGTGCAGGTGGTCTGGATTATTGCATCGCAAGATAGTGAGCGATGGTGGTGGTTTGTGGGGGCTTTCATCCAGCAGTGGATTGACCAGGGCTGATAGTGATGATGTCAAATACCGAAGTTATCATTGAATAAAAGAATGCGTTCTCACCTGGTAAAAACAGTTTGTAAAGCAATGCATTATTTGGGTGGCTTATTTTGAAGGTCTGCAAAGTATGCGCTGTTTCATGTTTTTGTTAGTGATTCCTTGGCCTGGCTGTTTTAGGCATATCTTGTTAAATCCCTATAAATCCTAAGGAACCTGTGGTGTTGGGACAGTGGTCCCTCCGGGCATAGAAAGCAAAACACAAAGCAAACAATAAACATAGTTTGTGTAGAGAAAAATAGACATTTCATTGTTGTGATATTGACAAAGTTAGCGCATGAGTTATTTCTGATTGATACTGTGTAACATTAAGCAGCAAAGCAATCCCTAAATACAATACATTTAGCTTAATGCAGCCATTCTCAATCCACCGATGAATGAAGTCCTCCATGCTCCGTTAATCATGGAGCTTTTTAGAAACATTTCACCACCAATGGATGATGGCTTCCCCCCTTTGCCATGTCATCCCCATGCCTTGTCAGTCATGGAGTTTTCTCTTGACACACTTCAACCACACTGAAGGGGGAAGGTTTGCAGGACTTGGTTGACATCACCTGCCATTGATGTTAGCCATGGCCGGAAATTGAACTCCAGTGGCTGGGTTGAAAGCGGAGTGCAATAACCACTGTAACATCGACCCACCCAAAAAATAATAAAGAATGTGATCAAACTAAAAACGGAAATAAACAGAAATGTTACATATTTTAAAATGTTAGTGCAGTATGGGAATAAGGTATTCGGCTCTCATGAGAGAGCACTTACACCAATACTGTACAGCAGTTAATAAGACAGGGGGCTGAGTTTACACATTGGAGGTTGACTTTTCATCCATGTTTTGACAAAATAGGTCTGTTGCTCTTATTAGTACTGTAATATTGTACTTTGTCAAGCCACTTCTGGACTAAGTGCTCCACATACTTAAGGCTCGTCAGTGCAGTTTATAAAGAGGGAAGAAAGCACAACTGGTTAAGATGAGTTCAGACCCTTTCAGTGCCATGTAAATGTGCCCCAAAGTGGTTTCCGTGGTCAGAAGATAGTGATCATTTCCATTGATGGCCCTGTTCCAGGAGCGGAAATTCCACATTCCTATGGCGAGGCCAAGTGTGAAGATTTTCCTCCATTTGATAGCTATTTTTCGATGGGCTGAGTGGATCTCTAGAATTTGAGTGCACAATTTCCCGAATGCGAATTAAGCAATTTAACCACAGCGACAACCGGCCGGACGTGGTAAGTCAAGTAAAAGTACAGTAATTATATCTGATGTTTGAATGGGCGAGCGTCTATTTAAATTTGTTTCGTAATGCCGTCAAGGCAACTCGAGCAGAAGTATTTAGTACAGTTGATCTGTCCGCAGTTTTCACATGAGCGACGTGAGCGTTGATACTTTAAAAAGTTACCTGCGCTTTCAATGATGACATAATAGGATCTGTAATGTGAAACGAAAAGCAGAAATGCATTCATTCCCCACGTGTAAGTTAAAGGGTGGCCTCATCAGGAACCATTGACCTGTGCAGGCTGGTTTAGTTGCAAGTTCGCCGTCTATAAAACCACACACCTTTCCAGTACAATATTGATTATATAAACGTATAACGTGGTGTGTACGTTGGTTGTATGAATAACTCCTCCTAGACTGCTCCACCAATTTCGGTGAACGAAGAGTGATCAGGAAGCAAGTGTGAATGAGAGGGTGACGTTAGATGAATGTGACCTTTAACTTGGTCTACACGATGAGGTTCAATGTTATACATTGTAGGGGGGGGAGGGGAATGGGGGCAGAGGCCGTCAAGGGAGCTCGCCAGTGTGTGTGGGGGGGCGCATGAGTGATGACGAAGATGCCCATTGACCCGGGAACGCAAGTGGTGGCTTCTCCGGCCAAAACGTACGGCGGCGGCGAAGCCCTCATTGGATACACGATACATTTGTTTTTTAGGTAAGGAAAACGCTCTCGAAGATATTCGTTAGCATCAAATATCCACCGGGCTCCTAGCTCGTGTTTACATTAACCCACCATTTGCCCGTGGAGATATTTGAGTGGGGAAGAAGTGAAGGTTACCATGGAATTACAGTGCATAATTGGCATGGAGCCGTGGCAGTTTTTTTGCCTTGAGGTAGCATGAATGAATGGAATAACCAACCAATTGAATGACTTGGCATTTCTCTAACTTTAGTCATTACGATCCAGCCTGCTAAAGCCATCCCGTCTTCAACATTCTTTATTTGCACAATCTATGTCGGCTCCCATGCACGGCTTGCCCAAGGTTGCTTTTTAAGAGTGGTGCGCTTCACCCTAACCAGTCACCAGGCCCTATCTCGTGGGGGGTTAAAGTACATGGAGGATTGCTTATGCCTGGTGCTATACAGCTCGCAAAGACGGAGATGGCTGCATTAAACCAGCTGGGCTTGCCTCTTGTACCGCTCGAAACGTGAGAAAGCTTGCAGTACGACGAATTTAAAAAAAATGTGAAGCCAACGTCGAGGCCAAAGTAGCAGTTAACCATCCGGGCCCACCCATAACCCCGCCTCGTCACCACGACACCATTGTGTTGGCTGCAGGGAGTTTGTGGGAGAGACGGAGCAAGGAGGAGGGTGGTGGTTGTAACCGTGGTGTGTGACATCACCCCCGGAGAGTCTGAACACAGGAAGGAGGTGGGGTTGGTGTTGCCCATGCTATTCACTGTACTGCGTAATGGGCCTTTGTTTCTACTGCCGGGCTTAAAGGTGTGCAGCATCCAGCCTCGTACCCAGTGTCTTCACGGACTTGAAATGTTTAGGCCACTTCATCCGTAACCATCATTAGACCTCCTTTGCCAGTACCAAAATGTAATAATAGGGTTTTTCCCCTTTTTTCTGGCAACAAAACTGAAACCTTTTTACAAGGATTCATGTCTGCATTAACCACAATACCTGCAGTCAAAATACAAACAAAAAACATACTATGATAATATATGCATTGTCCTTGAAACTGATTGGTCCACACCAAGGGACGTCTTTCTTTTGAGCCTCGACCCAATTGGTGCTCGACCAGAGGACGTCAAAAGGCGTACAGCTCAAAAACAATGCACTATCAAAATAATGAGGGCTCGGGGTGAGCATCTACATCATTAGACCTCCTTTGACAGTACCAAAATATAATAATAGGGTTTTTCCCCTTCTTTCTGGCAACAAAACTGAAACCTTTTTTTACAAGGATTCATGTCTGCATTAACCACAATATCTGCAGTCAAAATGCCAACAATAAACATACTATGATAATATATGCATTATCCTTGAAACTGATTGGTCCACACCAAGGGACGGCTTTCTTTTGAGCCTCGACCCAATTGGTGCTCGACCAGATGACGCCAAAAGGCAATGCATATATTATCATAGTATGTTTTTTGTTTGCATTTTGACTGCAGGTATTGTGGTTAATGCAGACCTGAATCCTTGTAAAAAAAAGGTTTCAGTTTTGTTGCCAGAAAAAAGGGGAAACACCCTATTATTACATCCGTAACCAGTTAAATCTGCTCATTGGAATGTAGTTTTAAAACGGACCCTGTTACAAAATCAGGCAGCCACCCGTGATTAAACCGTTTTCAAGTGTGGCAAGTTGGCAGTTAACAAATAATGCAAGAAAAAATTGCATAATATGATATGCAATTGGCTCAATAAACAATTTATCTAATTAATTATTAGATTATAGCAACAACATGATCATGATAATACATTTGTCTTTCATTTATGTTAGCTATCCTAGCTATATCGTTTGCAATGTATACACCTTACTGATGGTATGTTAAGAGAATGACTTCACAGAGAAAGAATAATGTATTTCTAGCGTTAGGTAAGCAAGGCCTATTGTAGTGACTCCAGAAGTATTTCTGTGGCGTCCTCTTCAGGGGCCGTTCCCTGGCATGTTGACACTTTTTACAAACCAATTTAAGTTTCGTGAAGGACATTTCTTCACTTAAAGCCATGACTGATCGCGTAATTGGGAAATAATTGGTGGGAAACATCTCGAATATAGCCACAAAGACAAAGTATAATTGTTCTATTTAGTTTTACCTTTTATGGTTTGAGAACTATCTGCAGGGCTGTGATCATATCTGAACCACATCACGTAATTGTATTAACTACAGTACTTCATTAATCCACTGCCAATTTCCTTGGTTTACTTTCGAAAGGAAACGCACACGTAAAATGTAAAAAACATTTTTTATAAAAGCTTGATATAAAAAATTAACTCCTCGAAGATAGAAAGATCTAGAGCTCGGTTAATGTCTGAGGTTCAGAGAGCCTAACCAATGGCACTGTTAAGACTCTTAGATTTAATTGTTGATGTCCTGGGAATCAGGGAGTGAGATTTGACTTCCTTAGAGTTCACTGTTAATGGCCAAATGAGTGGCATAGCCACAGGGAATCACCCTGCGCAATCTATATTCATGTTCTATTTTGATATATAACTGTATGTAACTATGTGTGTGTGTGCATCAGCTTATGTGCCTGCCTGTGTGTATGTATGTGGGAAGCCGTAATGCAACGGTTAATACGCAGCACTGAAAACCCGGCGTCCCAAGTTCGATTCCCGCTTACGGTCAACACCAGTGACAATTATCTGAACCGGTCCTGGGCCTCCTCTAAGTTGACTCGGCCTCAAATGAGTATCTAGTGCAGTGTGTACACATTGCCACAAGAGAGACAAAGGCGGTTGGGCGTGGTGCTGGCCACCCACCCCCTCGTGTACCATTCCGGCCTTCATCGGTGCTTGCTAAAAGTCTGTTAAAGGCTTGCATGGGTTACCTTTGTTTGTTTGTAAACCCGCGCGTGTCCATTTGCGCATGTGGGAGCAGGCAGCATGGCAAAGCGCGGTGCGGGTTCGGGCGACGGAGGCTCCAGCGATGCTGACAAGTACCTGTACGTGGAGCGCAACACCTACTCCATCCCGGCTGCCCAGGCCGACTGGAGCGCCCGTCGCCTCGTGTGGGTTCCTTCCGAGAAACATGGCTTCGAGGCTGCCAGCATCAAGGCGAGTGCTATCTCCCCTCCACCTCTACTGTCCCCCACCCCCCCCCATATGTTCTCCTCTCCCCCGTGCTTGGCTCAGCTCGGCCTGAAGCATCACAGAACACCTGGGTGCAAACCGTCTCCAGCAACGCATTTTCCTGCTGCACGGATAGATGCGTGTCGAGTAGTTGCGGCCCATTTACGTCTGAGAGGAATTTGCCTTGAGTAGCTGAGATACATCAGAAGCATGGATGCTTTTTCATCATGGAGTCTCGAGGTATTTTTCGGTGGCCGGTGCAGAGTCAGCCGAGGCTGGAGATGCATCTGCAGTAAGTGGGTGGCATGGAGACATTGTAATCCCAGAGGGATTTCCAGTGAGTAGGAAGAAAGCATTTTATTCTGGCAGGCAGTTTATGCTGCAAGAGCATCAGCACTTTTTGAAGCTGGTAGGCATTTGCAATGAAGAAGCCGGACAGAATTTGAAGTCCGGCGGTATGTGCAGTTTACAGCAGGAAGGCATTGTCAGTGTGCAGCATGTAGGTAATTGCAACGCCACTCAGAGTATGGGTGTCATCCACCAGCATAAAATTCACGTTAACAGTGCTCTTCTATCTGCTCTCAACCAAACGCTCCATTGCGAACACTAAGCTTTTGTAGCTTATCAAGTTTTTTTTTCCAGCAACAGCTCTTGGCCTGGGTTGACATGTGACCTCCCCCTTCCCCGTGTCATTGTGGCCCGACAGGAGGAGCGAGGCGATGAGGTCCTCGTGGAGCTTGCAGAGAACCAGAAGAAGGTGACCGTGAACAAGGACGATGTCCAAAAGATGAACCCACCCAAGTTCGCCAAGGTGGAGGACATGGCGGAGCTCACGTGCCTCAACGAGGCGTCCGTTCTGCACAACCTCAAGGACCGATACTACTCCGGCCTAATCTACGTGAGTCTGCCTGCTTGTGTGTGTGTGTGTGTCTCCTTGTGGGTGTACCTGCGAGGTAGGTGATTTGGCATGCGTGTGCACGTGCGTGCTGGCCAGATCACCCCTTTGTGCTGTGGTGGCCCTCAGAGGTGCTCACGAACTGCATTTACACCAAATAGGCTGGCAATAAGGGAGCTCTTTGTCTTTATACTGGTGTACGTGTGCTGCTGCAGTTGTAAGCGTGGGTGGTGCATCTGCCATTCATGCTGACCTATAAACGTTGGGCGTGACGAGCAATCTCCTACCAGTCAGCCTTCGCCAGTCCACATGGTGTGCACCTAACCTAGCATAACTGCTGTGGAGTTGTCACCGCCACGAAGCGTTGAATGATTGTTGCTGCTGCTGTTTGCTGGTACCAGCGGTGTCAGAATCGGTCTATGTTGGGGAAGGGGGTGGGGGGCTAGCGAAAGACTATTTGCAGATAGCAGCAGATGCCTTCTCAACAATAAGAGGCAGAGGAGCGATGCTCACAGTGACGAAGTGGATAACATACAGTTGGCACAGTGGGGATTGTCTGTGGAGCGTTTGCCAGTCACCCTCGTCCGTTAACCCATATTTCCTCAATAGTCCCTCAAAAACATACCTAGTTCGGCACCGGTGTCATGGTGATATCAGCATTTACTGGTGAATTATGACTGCCTTAAATATATGTGTAGTGGTGCAATGGTTTATACATAACGCTACAGTCTCGGCAACGTTTTTTTTTAATTCCCGGCCATGTTTCGGCATCGGTGACAAGTGCTGTTTGGATCTGTCCTGACTTCCCCGGAGGTCAATTCAGTCTTTGTGGACCTGGTGTGGTGTGTGAACATTCATACTTGGGAGACAATAGTAGTCGGTCAGATGTGTGCAGTCTGACTAAACCACCTCATTGTGTATGACGCTGTGCCAGCCTTAGTCGGTTCCTACTAACAGCATTTGATCAAAGAGTTTTTCCATGTGTCAGAGAGATGAGTGAAAATAGGTGGATTTTTTTTTGTATTTGCTTGAATAAAAACAATGGTGTCGTAATTTCTGAAATAATTTGTCGCATTTAATGTGACATGTTTTAAAATGATTTGCCATTTAAATCCTTAATCTTTCAAGTGGATCATGTCTCACTACATTAAGCTTGAAAATTGAGTGAAAGAATTAGGTGAATCACACCGAACACTACAATATTCGTTTCCTTACAATCATATATGTAGTTGCCCCTTACATCAATGGCACTTTATTTTTTGCATATGATTATTGCAGTAATGTGACCTTCAAAATGATTGGATATAATTTATCTGGCTACAAATGGGTCATATTGACCATATCAAAACACTTAACTGGCATTGTTGGGGACTTGGGGTGAATTCCTGATTCCAAGCTACTTGTGATTTTAACTTGGTTCTTAAGCGTAGCGAGTTGATTATCTCAGCTCGGTCAACAATTGTGCTAAATTGAGGATCACCAGGCTCAGCCATTGGCCCGCCGACTACTCAGGTAGCCCCCCCCCCCCCCCCCTCCTGCCCGTATTCTGCGTCATGCAGATGGGAACACTTAAACCAGATGGTAGGTCTAGTCTGGAAGGTATACCGTTTGAGTTTAGGTATCAGCTTTGGGAAAGCTGCATTTTATGACAATAGGAAAGAAGTGTTGGAGAGGTGTAGTGGTCTACACAACATTGATTTTGATGACCCAATTGACCTGAGTATAACTTTCTCCATCATAAATGTGATGACATGTCTTCTTCTTTTGTATGGTTGATGTAGATGTAGAGCAACAGCTACAATTTCACATTCAGGTGGTCAAACCAGATAACTGCATCATGCAATGTGTACAGTGCTACATGTAATGTGTACAGACTGTCATTTAGAACACCGAATGCAATACATATACATTTAGAGGTAATAGGAACAGATCAAAGACTGCTCACAAATAGTTACCCTTCAGGGCCCCAAATACACAGAGGCTGCCCATCGTGCAGCAATCTCTCATGGTTTTAAAGCTGCCAGAGAAGCCTAATGCGAAGCAGACCCTTAGCGTGTCTGCATTTCACTGAGCTATGTAGCTTTTTTTCAGAAGTGACCTGGCTATCACAAATGATAGCTCAATGAAGTGGCTTTTTACTTGTAAATGTATTGCAGCCAAATATTCTAAACGCATGTTGATTCTAAATGTGACGGGAAAAACGGGAAGACCCAGAGAATAATCCACATGACCACGGGGAGAACATGCAAACTCCAAATATACAGGCGTCAGGGTTGCGGTCAAACCCACGACCTGTGTACACCAGACGAGGTAGTTAACATCCCGCCACCGTGGCATCCCATGTACCTCATGGGATTCAAGATACCCACGTCATAGTACTTCGCCAACACCGGTGAGATGCTGAGTTGGAATCCTCGGCTGAAATCTGTGGTTAAAGGAGTTTCTCCAAATCAATCAACGATTACTGTACACAATGAACCATCTTGTAATGTTCTGTGCTTAATTATTTTGAGCCGAGTTCTCGAGTCCCATTTGAACACTTAAGCACAGGACGAGACGCTTTTGTCTGTGTGTGCTTAAAAGAGGGTGCAAAATAATGATTAGATGAAACAAACACTTTTAATTGTGTATTATAATTTTAGTGTTGTTACATACTGTGATGTGTGGCTCTTGTTATAGATATTACATGGTAAGTAACAACAACATTCACTTAGAAGCAGAGAGTGCATTTGGGATGCCATGTGAAGCATTAAATAATAATTGTAAAATATTTGATATGCACATATTTGGAACCAATATTGCGAATTTGGCAGTGAAAATACAGGTGTAGTGAGTTCAACTGAGTCGCAGACGCAATTCTTGGAGGCAACACATTTAATAATACCAACACACGGGGTAACTGCCCCTTAACAAGATAACAACCTATGGTGGTGGACCACCAGGCTAACCACACTTATTACACCATAACTAGCTACAGTGGACCGGACCACAGCTTGGGTCCAGGTCCACGTGTTGGTGATTCTGTAGGACGTAGAACGTAGATTCTTCAGGATGAACAACAGCAGCCGGTCCCTCTCGGGGACCCGGCTTATATCCTCTGTGGTGTGGTTGGCTCCGCCCTTTGCCACGACCACCTTCTAGAATCCTCGACCCTGACACGTGACCACCCCTAGCCCCCCACTTGGGGGCCCAGTGTAGACTTCACTGGTCACGTGTCCTTCTGGTTCAGCCAGAGTGCCATGGCCCTTAGTAACCCCATTCCCATGGCCGGCACTCTAACACCCTATCCTGTAGGGGTCGGCACTGCACGCAGAGCCTGGTGCCATCCAGGGCTGTCAGTCAGCGCTCACCGAGCCCCTCTAGGGCCGGTACTGCACCCACATCCACGTGGCACCCGCGATGTCAATACATCGCACGCCGTGCCTCTCTGGGGCCGGCATTACACAGTGACATCCGCGATGTCACGACACAGGTACTGCGACTGCTGCCACGAGCACTGATATGATTATGTCATTCCCACGCATGTGTGCATGTCAATTATTTTTCGATGTTCGCACGAAGATTGGGCTTCCAATTTCATGATGTAAGACTTGCATGCCACGGGTCTCACCTTCGCCCTGTGGGCTACAGCATCTACTATAGAGTCGCAGCGTCTCCATGCACGAACAAGCATGGGGCGTTGCTTATTATTACTGTTAACGATTCTAAGCCTTGAATCGAAGTCGCACGTTCTTATTGCAGGGGCCTTGTCGAGACAGAAACGCCACGGGTGGTATTCGTTTCATGATCCTGGAGGGTTGACGGTCTGAGTCCAGCCTTCCCAGGATTTCATCAATGCCCTCCAATTGAAAAGTGATAACTAGTGCCACCAACCTGGGTATTATTATTATTATTCATCCTGGGTTTGACAGTTTTCCCCATCTTGAGTCCATAAGTGAAAAGTTTTTTGGAAACGAAATATCATATGGTGTTCATATCTGTTGACCGTAATCATAAAAATGTGATCATAAAGCATGTGCACGTCTTCGATACACTTGGAGGTGTGTGATGAGAATGGTGAAACTTTTGGATGTGCGGTCATTCTGAATGATAATATTGATGATAATGACAACTGGCTCTACTTAAGTATGTATGAAGTTTGGAAAAGAATGCTGCAGCTGATGAAGATGTTAAGTGATGCTAATGGCAACAGTGATGATGGTGCTGTCACCAATGTACTCTAGGTTTGCTCTCCACGATAGCACTCGTGATAATTATTATGATGATATTGATGGTTGGGGTGCTCTTACAGACCTACTCTGGGCTGTTCTGCGTGGTGGTGAATCCCTACAAAAACCTGCCAATCTACTCGGAGGAGATCATCGAGATGTACCGTGGAAAGAAGCGCCACGAGGTCCCACCGCACATCTATGCTGTCACCGACACGGCCTACCGCAGCATGCTGCAAGGTGAGGACACACAGACACACCCGGGCATACGGACACGGATGCACGGACACACTCGTACAACATACAGATACAACAACGGCCACCATTCGCCACTAATTGTGATGATGTAATTGCAACGCTTGTGCAAGGGAAAGTGAATTTTGAGATCACGTGAAGTGTCGGAGGCTTGATGGCAGGATGTTACAGGACAGACTTGGGTGTTATGGGTTGACTGACCGAGATGACTGACAGATGCACAATCTGTGCTCCCCACTCTGCCAACACGGACATTCAAAGACAGGCTCCCGCCATTTATTATTATAGACTGTAGGGGCAAGTGCTTTTAGCTGCCATCTACTAAGGCCGGTCAGGTGCACGAGAGGGTGGTGTGGCCAATACCCTGCTTGGTCTTATTTGCCTCTCCAGGGCTGATGTTTGCATATCACTTGAAGGTACTTATTTTGAGGCTGAGATGACCTAGAGAAGGACCAGAACAGACACTATTCACAACTCAGAATGAAATCCAGATTGGCAAAAGCGTTAGCGCATTTTGCAACCCTCCCCCCTGTATAATTCCACCACTTTGCACACGCGCGCAGAAACAAACAACTCAAGACGTACCTGACAATAAATGGCCAAGCATGCATGTATAAAAATGCACAAATTTGCGCACACACAAAATAAAGGTCTGCCGTTCACCCTAATATATAACACACTACCTGGATATGGTTTGGCCGAGCCGATCTAGAGGAGGCCCATATTGCAACTTCAGTGACCAATTGCCATTGTAGCTGCTGGGTTCATAGTGGAATAGGGTCTCTAACTACTGTATTTTGTCACTTGCCCACCACACATACATAAGACCAAGCCTTAAGTCAGGTGACCACATGTGGCAAATCACACACGTAGCCCTGATGTCATTGTTAAGTCCAATGCGGGTGGACCCAGAGTTTGCACATCAGTCATCGAATCACCTCCGCTCTTAAATATTTTAGCACACGGTAGCCTGCTCTAGCTTGTAGCTTTAGAAAAAAAAAAGTGACAACGGCATGCAGACACACACGCACATACCCGCACGCACGCCCACACACTGGCGTCGAGGTGATGTGATGTGACCTGACCTCCTTCGCCCCTGGTAGTTTGGCACGTAAAGCGTGTTCGCTATGGGGTGCGGTAGGACAGACGGGAAGGCACGCCCTACTGAGGGGACATTGTCCTGCTCACTTAATCACAAGATACCAGCACCTTGTAGACATGTTCGCCAAGCTACAAATGCATGGTCACCCAGCGCAACCAGTGAGTGACACAATTTGGCCACTCTCATCTCCCAGCTCCGATTTGCACGGGTTGGCTATGTACGGTGCGAAATAAGTTCAACATACGTGCAATTTGTATTCGGAAGGTATAATACAAATATAAGTAGAACTCTGTTCTTTATCTAGACACAAAAAAAATGTCCATTGGCCTATTGGCTTCACCCGACCAATATCATCCAGCAGCATTTGTTTAAGCAAGCAAACCTTGGACCAGTTTTGTCCTGACTCTCATCAACAGTCAGGCTTGTTAAACAATTGCTGCTGGAATGCCAGATGTTTTTGGCAAATCACTCCATATAAACTATGGAGCGCCTGTTCAGCACCAAAAATTATATTGTATTTAGCCAGGTAAGAGCCTCTGGACACATGTGTTTTTTGAAAGGGTAGCAAACCCCCAGCATAAGATCCCCTATTTAGCCTGAGAAAATAGGGATAAGTGCTGTTAGCGAAGGCTAAAGCCTGCATGGCTCGTGAGGTGGTGATGCTGCGCAGCTAGCACCGTAACTGGCCACTATCATCTCTTATTGCTGACATTCTCAGCATATACCAAGTGCTAGTTATAGACTGAACCTATAAGCGTTCCAAGAGAGGTACATATACCACTAGCATATTGTTATTATACATGGCTGGCTCGCACACCGCTCAACTTGCAAGTCAAAGACAAATATCCCCTGGATAGCCTTAACATACTGTTGGGGCAAGTGCTGTTAGCAAGCACATATGAAGGCTGGAATGGCACACAAAGGGGTGGGGTGCCCAGCACCACGCCTGTCTGTATTTTGTCTCCGTAGTGGCAATGTTTACACACCAAACCAGGTAATAATTTGAGGCCAAGTCGACCTAGGGGACGCCCAGGACCGGTTCACATAACTGTAACTGGTGTTTGCTGTAAGCGGGTGTACAAACTCGGATCGCCGGGTTTATAGTGCAGCGCGCTAACCATGACTCGAGCGTTCCTCACTTGTCACAAACACGCACAGTCATTCTTTTACCCACACGGCGACATGTATGACATTTGCTGCATCGTCAAACTGTTTGGGGCAAGTTGTGATCGGAAGCTTCCATCACAGCATGCACGACAAATAGGAAAGCAACGTGGCGAGTCCAACACACACGCCTCTACTGCCTTTGTTTCCCCAGTCATCGTTTTGATTCTTGCCATATGTATTTAAAAGTTTGTTTTGATAAACAGTGTGTGTTTGTGTATGGAACTTGATATATCCCAGGTACTTGTTTTATGCAGAGTTGAATTCGGGCAGGGCCAGATAACATTTGTCACCAGCACGATGCATCATGACCCTGATCTGAACTCGGGTTGTCAGGTGCACTGTAGCCTACACCACCCCACGGACCCAAATCTGTTTAGTTTATTTACACAGTGGAATCCCAATTACATTAGTGAGCACGCACCTACACTCGCACACCAGCCTATGTATCCACACACTCATAAGCCTGTAACAAAAAAATACATTATTTCTTAGTGGAAGTTCCCTGCTTCTCTGGTGGGGGCCATTGATTATCTCCATCGGAGGAAGACAAGTATTGAATAGCCACAAGTGATAATGTAATGACAATTTGTTTAGAAAGCGTTTAAATGTGACTGCACCGTAAGACTACAAGGCTTGCACATCTAGAAAGAATGAAGAAAACACGGGGGGGGGGGGGGGGGGTTGAGAATTTTAGTGCAGTTACAGATTCAGAATGCTACAGATCAGAGAGGGAGTTGAGAGACAACATTATTAAATAAGTGTGAAGTGAGACAATTCAAACATAGACGGTAATAGGCACAAGAGAAAGATCTTCAGGAAACTCGATCAATGATATAAAAAATATTTTTTTAATCAGAAATGTACTTGCTGTAATGCTTCCAAAGTGTACTTCCACAGAACCATGCAGTTTTGCTCATGAATGATCCACAGAAACATTAGGCCCATTCGTGATTGGCTTCAACGAACCTTAAAAGTATAACTTTATTGTGTATCCCAGTCTCTACTAAACTTCAAGCCACAGAGTGGCCCCTGTAGTTTCACTGATTGATAGCGATTCAAAACTAATGAAAATTGTCAATTTAGACAGCGTTGGAGTGTGGTTGTTTAAGGCTTGGGGGTCATAGTTCACATTCCTGCAGACTGCCCTTCTGTGTAAATAAAAAAAGTGTGTAAACTTCAGCACATGACGCAAACCAGCCACATTTACAATCAGAAGCCAGTTTCCCTGCGGTTTGTGTCTTGATTCCAAGACAAGTTTTGAATCCTGGAATATGTAGATCTTTTGTTCTTAGAAAAAACATTTTTTATCAAGGCCTCATTTCTCTGGTTAGTAGTAGTTAGGAGTGCAGCAGTCCAGAAGTTAGTTCTGCGACTTAAATTCTCAACCATGGATAACATTCTTGGCGAGTGATAACTAAACTGGTCCTGCCACCCCCTTGCATTCACAAACCTGTGCTGACCAGTGTAGCCAAATGACCCTTAGCAAGGTGGGAAAAAGCCTTCATTCAACAATGGACTAAAAAAAAGGACTAAAATATATCGTAGATTGCTCATCGGATAACTGAGGATTACATTTCTCACATTCCTGACCTGAACTAAATGTTGCTTTTTGTTTTACAATTCTTAACAAACTACTGATATTGGTTTGAAACCAAATATTCGGTCTGTTATATCTTTGTATTTCACATCTCTCAGCTGTGTATCTGTAGCCTGCCATATGCTCTACTGTGACCTCGTGCTCTGCATATTGTTGCTGTTTCTTAGCTGCAAGGAAACAATTCCTGCTGCAAATTTCGTGCAATGTTCACATGTCTTGCTTAGGTGCAAGCTAGGTTTTCATTCCAAATAGGAACAGGACGCAATCTATCAGGGTTGGGAAAGGAAGGGCTATAGGAAAGGGGAGGTGTGGGGGGGTGAGTGGGGATAACAAGGGCCCATGGGAGTGTTGACCCATGTTTGTTCATTACTTATAAAAATGTAAGCTTGTTCGTACAAAACGATCCCCCCTTATATATAACTTTTTCAGGCTGTTGGGACAAGTGCTGTTAGCGAGCACCTATTTAAGGCCAGTGCTAGGCAGTGCTGATGTTTACATGCCGCACCAGGAACTCAATTAAGGCTGAGTCGACCAAGGAGAGACCTAGCACGGGTGCAAATATTTGCCACTGATGTCAGCCGCGAGCGGGAATGCATCTCGAATTGCCAGCTTTGTAGTGTATTAACCACACACATACACGCGTGAACGCATTCGGTGTGTAGACTAAACGTACAAACAAGGCTGCCATCGTGTATGTGTGCTCACACAAAACAATAATGAAAATGTTTATTCAGGAGGACCCAACTTGTTTCACAAGCCTTGCTTGGAATGTTAGGCCAATTCCTTCTGTTTAATCTATTTTCTTATGGTTACAAAACACCACTTGGAGATGGAGAGCTGTGCTGGCAGAATGTTTACACCCCTACATCATTCTCCATTAAACTCGGTCTCAAATACACAATATCCCGCTCAAAACAAACATCGGCTCAGAAACCCCAGCCATGCATCCTGTTGTGAGGCAAATTACTTAACACTGCATGTGGTCACACACACACAAATTGGCTTCCACATGAGTAGATGCAAGACCAAAATAAATGTTCCAAAACTTATCTTATAAGTGTAAACAGTTGCAGTAAGCGCTATTAATTGAGCAACTTTTAAGACTGGCCCTACACACTC